TATTCTAGAAAAGCTCAAGTATATATTTATTGGAACAACATATACATATAATTAACCATAGATCTTAAATACAAATAATATAAATAATCCCTCGTATTTACTATATTTATAAAAAAAAAATTGAATATAAAATTCCATTTCGATCAGCCAAAACTTTTAAGTAACCGTTAAAATTTTGTTATAAACAAATTCATAGTCAAAATCTCGATGCGATCAAATGTAATTTAATATATTCTTATAAATTAATATTTTTATACCATTATCTAAAATTTATTAACTCTCATTAATTTTTAAAAATATTAACTAACTATAGGTAATAGTTGTAAATATTGATTATATATAGCAACTGATTTTAATTGTGAGGCTCTCAAGACATGATAGAATTCAGTTGTTTTAGGTAGTTATTATGTTATGGATAATACTTTAGAGTTGTTATGTCCGATTCAGTTGGTAAACGGATATATTCTATTTCTTACCATATCAGTTAAAACCTGAGCTGAAATCTTCAACATCCTAATCCTACACTCTTGCGGATCTACTCTCTTCAGCCTATTAAAGAGCATCATTCTCTTCTTATCTTACCAATCCTCATGCACGAATGACAACAGTGCTATTTACATGAAGAACAAAGACTGATCCGTTGACGACCTGTTTTTTATTCAGAGAAAAGGTGCAATTCACTCTTCTTTCATGATTGAATCACTCTGTATATGTATATTTTACATTGATAATGCTTCTGAAGTTAAGTCTCTGTTAACAACGCATGTGTACTTTCTATTATCAAATACAAACATAAAAGCTTCATCACCTGCTTTTATCAAAAGTGTTCAAAATTTTCAGCACAATCAAACTCAATATGTGTCGAAACCAAACCACACTCCATAGATGTTGTGTTATTTGAAGGAATGATTTAGTTCTGCTCAGTAGTGTAATATTACCTCATTCAATTTTAGATTGTTATGCATAATAATTACATTCAATTTTATAATTTTTAAATTATTTTAGTTATCAGTACATTGATTCAGTTACAGATTTTGTTTCATGCTCAAATCTCAATACCATAAGCTCCCCTCTGGATATGTACAACTTTTTCTATATATGGCAGTGATACACTATTTAATATATTTAGTAGTGATATTGTTTATACCACTATTTTTGGTTGAAATTTCATGTTTACTTGGTAGCAAATCAGATGCCTATGATTTTCAATTAATCATATTTATTACATTAATTATTACAACAAATAAAATATTTGTTTTATGATTCTTTTATTTATAAATAAAATGAATTTTTTTTTCATTATAAGGATAATGATACTTTGACAACATTTTTTTTACAACATTTTTTTTTACAACATTTTAAAATCAGATGCCTATGATTTTCAATTAATCATATTTATTACATTAATTATTACAACAAATAAAATATTTGTTTTATGATTCTTTTATTTACGAATAAAATGACTTTTTTTTTCATTATAAGGATAATGATACTTTTACAACATTTTTTTTATGATTGGTCTATGTTGGTGTTTATGATTATTATTATTGATTATAAAATAATTTTGGACCAGAATGATACAAAATGACACGTAGATGATGTTAAAATATTATCAAAGTATCATTATTCTTGTTATAATACATAAAAAAAATCATTCCCTATGGATTTTAAATTGGTTAAAATTTCATCATTACTTGGAAATAAATCAAAATGCCTAGTATTTTCGATTACTCATATGTTTACTACATTGCTTTACCATAAAGCAACACCTTCAGGTTGACATTAGAAGTTGATCAATCAGCCATGATGTTATATTTAATGTAAACAGGTTTCAAATTGAAGAAGGTACATTATTACCCATTAGTCATCTAAAGGAAGATAACTGAACAAACACAAAAACTTCATCATGGACCAAGGTGGACAAAACCGCAAAGGTTCAAGATATGCTGTTTTATGTTCGGTGGTCACTTCCATGATATCCATCATATTTGGCTATGGTATATTCATTTCCTTCTCACTTATTTCATTTCTTCCATTCTTTCCTGTGCATTCTTCTCTGTTTTTCCAATTCACCCATTTTGTTATCATTAACAGGATTCTACTTACAGCTTTCCCTTAAGAATGATATATATAAAACGAAAATTCCCCTTAATTATAAAGTTACTATAATTTACAACACCCAAAGCTCCTCTCAACTTATTAAACTTATTAAACTTATTAATCTTCAGAGCCTTGATCAATAACTGGGATTTTAGTTAGATTAATTACAGATTTATTATCCATCAAAAACAGAGTCAAACCATATTGTTTGGCAATGCACCGGCTATGTATTAAAATATGTCACGAACAGTAGTTCTTTATACGATCAATCAATCAATTCTCTCTCCATATGCTTCATTTTTCTATGAAACAATGCACCATACTTTAGTGTTTAACACAGGAGAACCTTTCTTTTTAACATTTTTTTGTTTAAGAATTCACACTGTCTTATCTGCTAAAAAATAGTATAAATATAGTGTTTCTGACTGAATTGCAAATGAACGTGATTTTTAGACACTGGAGTTATGAGTGGAGCACTGATATTCATAAGGGAGGAGCTAGGAATCAGTGACACCCAACAAGAAGTTCTTGCAGGCATCTTAAACGTTTGTGCATTGGTAGGGTCTTTAGTTGCAGGAAGGACCGCTGATTACATTGGTCGACGGTACACAATTTCCTTAGCATCCATCCTTTTCTTGGTTGGTTCAGTACTCATGGGATATGGACCAAACTACGGACTTGTAATGGCGGGAAGGTGTGTGGCGGGTGTTGGAGTGGGTTTTGCTCTTTTGATAGCACCGGTTTATTCTGCAGAAATCTCCTCTGCTGAAGCCCGAGGCTTTGTAGCTTCCCTGCCTGAGCTTTGTATCGGCATTGGAATTTTACTTGGTTACATAGTGAACTACTTGTTAGGGAAATTGCCTTTGAAGCTTGGATGGAGATTGATGCTTGGTCTTGCAGCAGTTCCTTCACTTGCTTTGGCTGTGGGCATTCTCGCAATGCCGGAGTCTCCGAGGTGGTTGGTGGTGCAAGGCCATTTAGCAAAAGCAAAGAACGTTCTATTACAAGTTTCAGATAGTGAAGAAGAAGCCGAGCTTCGGTTCAGGGAGATAAAGAGTGCTGCTGGGATTGACGAGGATTGCACTGAGGAAATGGTTAAAGGCTCTCGAAATAGCTCTGGTGAAGGGGTTTGGAAAGAGCTGATTTTGAGGCCTTCTTATCCTGTTCGCAGGATGTTGATTGCAGCAGTGGGGATTCACTTTTTTGAGCATGCCACCGGAATTGAAGCTGTTATGTTATACAGTCACAGAATCTTCAAGAAAGCTGGTGTTACCAGTAAGGACAAGCTTTTGCTCGCCACCATTGGAATAGGCGTTACAAAAGTCTCTTGCTTGATAATGGCCACTTTTTATCTTGACAGAATCGGAAGACGCCGCCTCTTGTTTATAAGCACTACAGGAATGATTTTTAGCCTTACCTTGTTGGGATTCAGCTTGACAATGGTGGAGAAATCTCATGTGAAGCTGGAGTGGGCCTTGGTTCTCAGCTTGGTGTTTACTTACGTATATGTTGGATTTTTCAATCTTGGACTTGCACCTGTGACATGGGTGTATGGCTCAGAGATTTTCCCTCTGAGGTTGAGAGCACAAGGAGCAAGTATAGGAGTTGCAGTGAACAGACTCACCAATGCTACTATTTCCATGACTTTTATTACAATCTATAATGCAATAACTATTGGGGGCGTCTTTTTCTTGTTTGCTGGTTCATCTGTTCTGGCTTGGCTCTTCTTCTACTTTTTCTTGCCCGAAACCAAGGGCAAGGCCTTGGAAGAGATGGAGATGGTTTTCAGCAAAAAGTCTCAAAGGAATGCAACTGCAGAAACCGAAACGGGGCAGAATGTGTAGTGGGTGTTTACAACTTATTGCTCAAGTCTTGGAGGGGCATGTCATCTGAAAAAATTTGCATCAATAACTGTTTCAAAGACGTCAACCAAGTCTATAAAGTTTGTTCCTTTCAATTGTCACCACGAGTTACACCTCTGTCTCAGTCTAATGCAAGTCCCTCAACTAACCAGCTATTATCGGGCTGTATTTAGTTATTTAAGTTGAGTTAAGAATTTTTTTTAAGAGAAGTGTGTATATTTTTATCAGCAGCAGATCAAATAATGTATATCTGATTTCCAGTAGCAATAAAATATTCAGTTTATTTCATATTCAATTTTTCATTAAGTTATTAAAACTAAATATGAGTGACACTTTATTACATATAACAAATTTAATTAATTAAATTTATTATTCCAGTAAATTTTATTTAATGATAAAGGTTCTTTCATTAGTATTTTCTCTTAATTAATATAATAAGATAAGATGAATCAGTGAGACAGTTATTATTATTAGAATAGCACCCCTCCTCTCATATATATTCATCCCAGAAAATAATAACGAGTTTCCATTTGAATGTTTCTACTTTTTTCTTTTACATAAACAGAGATTTAGGCTGTGTTTGAAATTTCCTTTTCACAACAGTTTGAATGAAAAAATAAAACACATTCTAATGCAAAGTATTAAGAAGGATAGAGAATGATTGACAATAGGAGGCAAACCTACACACCAAAGACTTAGAAAAGTAATAAACGAGAATAACTATATAATTGATATAGACGCAATGCAAGCAATATTTCCAAAAATTATGGATTAAATCTTTAAATAGAAAATTGAATGACAAAAATGATGAGCAACAATTTGTGGCCACAGTGATCCTACAAGCAAGGAGAGCCTTATGCAACAATAGGTGCGTGTTTCCCCACCACAGGTACAACAACATACAAATGTGTTTAGCCTTTGACTCTGACCCTCTTCCTTTTTCTCTCTTTCCTTACTCTTCTCACCTCTTCAATCAACTTATTCCTCGTACACTCTCTCTCTCTCTCTCTCTCAAACACCCACGTTAAAACACCGACAGAGACCGACACACATAATAAACTGATGAAACAAGCAGCTGCAAAGTCATCCCTGAGGAGGCTTTGTCCGAACATCGATAGAGAAGATGGGTTGGAGACCGTTCTTGAAATTCCAATACCCGAAGAAATGTTCACACCCATGGGAAGCAACGTAACGTTGCGGTGGCAAAACATGTTAACGTGGATGAAGGCTCAAACAGAAGACAAATTATCCACCCCTACAGTTTCAGCGCGCTTAAATGAGCTTCGCTTTCTGCTTTACCTCGTTGGCTCTCCTCTCATCCCTCTTCAGGTCCAATTAGGTCATTCCGTCCGTCGTCCGGTCAGAGATTGTTCTATTGTAAGAACACACACCCTTTTTCCATAATCAAATTTTAAGATCTGAGATGCATGCATGTTTACGTGTCAATCAATCTCAGATCAGAACTACTAAAACCGTAAACGAACTCAAATATTAGATAAATGCATGCATGCTTTATGATATATATGTTATGTGCATTTGTTTGTTTATCGTTTGGTTTTCGTGTGTTGATTTATTTGATTGTGGTGTAGGAAGCATCAACGGCAAAGTATATAGTACAACAGTATATAGCGGCAACGGGAGGACAACCAGCATTGAATGCGGTGGATAGTATGTGTGTTCTTGGGCAGATAAAGATTGTTGCGTCAGATTTTCACCAGACTTGTGAAACCGTTGAGGTGAAGAAAACCTCGGAAGAGATGGGAGGGTTCGTTTTGTTGCAAAAGGACCCCGATTTGTGGTGTTTAGAGATTCTTGTGTCAGGGTGCAAGGTTTCTTGCGGTAGCAATGGCAAGGTCTCTTGGCGCCATTCCTCTAACCAGCAGACACCAATTTCAAGAGGTGCTCCTAGACCTCTACGTCGTTTCCTTCAGGTACATTAATACTATAATGTTTTACAGAGTTGTCAATAATTAATTTAAAAACATGTATATGTTTTTTTTACGGNTCTCTCTCTCTCTCTCTCTCAAACACCCACGTTAAAACACCGACAGAGACCGACACACATAATAAACTGATGAAACAAGCAGCTGCAAAGTCATCCCTGAGGAGGCTTTGTCCGAACATCGATAGAGAAGATGGGTTGGAGACCGTTCTTGAAATTCCAATACCCGAAGAAATGTTCACACCCATGGGAAGCAACGTAACGTTGCGGTGGCAAAACATGTTAACGTGGATGAAGGCTCAAACAGAAGACAAATTATCCACCCCTACAGTTTCAGCGCGCTTAAATGAGCTTCGCTTTCTGCTTTACCTCGTTGGCTCTCCTCTCATCCCTCTTCAGGTCCAATTAGGTCATTCCGTCCGTCGTCCGGTCAGAGATTGTTCTATTGTAAGAACACACACCCTTTTTCCATAATCAAATTTTAAGATCTGAGATGCATGCATGTTTACGTGTCAATCAATCTCAGATCAGAACTACTAAAACCGTAAACGAACTCAAATATTAGATAAATGCATGCATGCTTTATGATATATATGTTATGTGCATTTGTTTGTTTATCGTTTGGTTTTCGTGTGTTGATTTATTCGATTGTGGTGCAGGAAGCATCAACGGCAAAGTATATAGTACAACAGTATATAGCGGCAACGGGAGGACAACCAGCATTGAATGCGGTGGATAGTATGTGTGTTCTTGGGCAGATAAAGATTGTTGCGTCAGATTTTCACCAGACTTGTGAAACCGTTGAGGTGAAGAAAACCTCGGAAGAGATGGGAGGGTTCGTTTTGTTGCAAAAGGACCCCGATTTGTGGTGTTTAGAGATTCTTGTGTCAGGGTGCAAGGTTTCTTGCGGTAGCAATGGCAAGGTCTCTTGGCGCCATTCCTCTAACCAGCAGACACCAATTTCAAGAGGTGCTCCTAGACCTCTACGTCGTTTCCTTCAGGTACATTAATACTATAATGTTTTACAGAGTTGTCAATAATTAATTTAAAAACATGTATATGTTTTTTTTACGGATTCTTGTGGTGTCAATGTGATTATGATTAAATTGGTTTTGTTTATTAGGGATTGGATCCAAGGGCAACGGCTAACTTATTTTTGGACGCGGCATGCATAGGAGAGAAGATAATCAATGATGAAGAGTGCTTCATCTTGAAATTGGAAACAAGTCCAGCAATTCGTGATGCCCAAAGCGGACCAAACTTTGAGATTATCCACCACACAATATGGGGCTATTTTAGCCAGCGATCTGGTCTCTTAGTTCAGTTCGAAGATTCAAGATTACTAACGATGAGAACCAAAGAAGACAACGACATTTTTTGGGAAACAAGTTTAGAATCAGTGATTGAGGATTACAGGTACGTAGATGGGATAAACGTATCACACAGTGGGAAGACTCGAGTTACAGTTTCCAGATACGGTGAACAATCAGCTAACCATAAAAGAGAATTGGAAGAGAGATGGAAGATCGAAGAGGTAGATTTTAATGTCTGGGGTTTGAATGCTGAAAGCTTTCTACCTCCTTCAAACTTAGGAAAGACATAAAATGCTTCGCCGTACAAAGCTTTGTAATTGGTAGATCTTAATGTATTGGGGTTTGGGCATTGAACAAAGCTTTCTATCTCTCTCAAACTCAAGAAAGATACAGAATACATTTGTAATAATATGTAATCCCCTCAAGAAAAATATTTATATTTTGTAATGACAAGCATGGTGCTGATGTTTATTCATTAGATTATTGGAGTACTAATTTAAAAATATGCACATAAAAAATTTGCCACAATTTTATTTCATTTGTTATTAGAGAAAATTTTTATATTTTAGCAACAATTTATTTATGCTAATGGTAAATTACACAAGACACTATCTGTACTATATGTCTATATGTGTTTTTAGCTACATACCACCACTAAGATTTGAATACTTTTTAATATTGTTGTAAATATTACGGAAAACAAAGTTCTATATATTTTTTCTATAATACAATGTGTTAAAATTTTAAAGCCTAATTTTTTATTTGGAAGTAATTGTGATGTTTTTGTCTGGAATTAGAATTATTAAAGAGGATTTGAAAAAGAAATACTGTTTTAATTTCATTTCTTGTTGAAGAAAGTATTTATATATCCCAACCGCTCATCTTTAAATTAGGATACGATTGAATCTTTAAAAAAAATAAATTTAAATTCTAATGATTAGAGTGAATTTGAAATCTAAATTTGTATTTTTTTTTAGAAATAATAGTTTGTACTTTAAATTAATAGAAATAATAGTTTGTATTTTTTAAAATACTTGAAAAATTTGTTTATAATTTTATATCTATATATAGAAAAGTTAGATACAATACTTTCACATATGATATTAAATTTTAGGATTAAATATACTTTTAGTTTTTAAACCTATAATTTGAAATTAAATTTTATTCATGTCTAAATTTTGACAAATTTTAATTTTAAATTTTAAAAAAAAATAATGTAGTTTTTGTCATCAAACAACGTTAAGAATTTGCTATGTGAAAAACAACGTTGTCTAATGTTACTGTGTAACCATATCTAATCAAAATTGTCATTACATTAAAACCAAAACATACCATACTATAATAAGACATATTAGCAAATCTTTTACGTTATTTGCTCACGAAAATTACATTTTATTTATTAATAAAGTTTAAAGATGAAAATATCAAATCCAATTTCATATAAAAGTTATATAAAATATTAAAAGTTATTAAAAAATAAATTTTAATTCAATAAATAAAATGTAATAATATATATATATATATCAAATTATAAAATAAATTTTCATATTAATATTATTTTTTGGTCGCAGTACAACTAAATTTATTGATTTTGTTACTTTGAATATGAAGACATATAATAAAAGATATCAAAATAATAAACCTATAATTATTTTCCACTCGACTATAAATATACTAAAAAGCCTAGTAGTGGATCCCATACTTTTTAAAATAATCCTTATTTTTGTATGGTAAGAAAGGCTAAATACAAATAAGAAAATTAAATAATATAATAAAATAAATTAATATTTTTATTTTTATTCAAAATATTATTTATTTATTTCTATTTTTTTTATCTCTATTAAAATGTAAATCATTTTAAATTTTAAATTTATAGTATTTCTTTTTACCAGAAATAATACATGGAAAATGTAGTGAGTATTTTATAAGTAAAAATACTTAAATTGAATGACGATATAAAAGAAATAAAAAAAATAAATTAAGAAACATAGTAATTACAAGAAAATAAAATAAAATTTAAATACTTACGTTTTTATTTGATACCATTTTTTTAATGT